CCAGCAGCTACTAAACAGCGCGGCCAGATAACGGCCCCGTCGCCACGAAGAGGGTGAAACGACCTCCGGGCGGAACTTCTTCTCCTCCACCACCACCACCACCTCTCTGCCTCTTTAATTCCGTTCTCCTCGTCGCACTTGGCACTTTCCGCGGCCGCGGCCGTCGCCGTCGTCACCACAGCAGCCGATACCACCACCGTCACTACAATCACCGTAAACACTTTCGCCACCGATACCACTAACACCACTATCGTCACTGGCACTACCTCCTTCACCGGTTTCACCGTCTCCTCCGCCGCCGCCGCCTCCTCCTCCTCCTCCTCCTCCTCCTCCGCCACCACCACCGCCGTCCTCCTCCTCGTCCTCGTCTTCGTCGTCTTCGTCTTCGTAGTCACCGATGGCAACCTTACTGGCAGCAACCGGCACCGAGTGGTCCCCTAACTACCTGGGCGACCGCAGCCACCCGTACGCGATTCTAACGACCGCCACACTTGCGTCGATTTAGCCGCGCGATTCAACAGCGCCTGCAAGCAGAAAGGAAGTAATCAGATAAATCCCCTAATCCTACCTGAGATTCCTAAGAATCTCAAAATGTTACAAAACTTGTGTCAATAGCTCAACAAATGTACCACTTGTAGTAACATGTGCTGTGGTGTGAATTGATATGGACTTTCTACAATATAAGCTGCATGACCAATCAAAAACCCCTAAATGCTAGCGCGACTTTTATTTTTCTAGGAGACCTGTTCGCGTTACTTAAAATCCCCACAAATTTTTATATTTAAAATGAGATAAACATATTGGGACATTGAAGAGAGAGAAAAAGCGAAGATGCTAAGTGCAAATATGAGTAAGCAACGCAATAGACATAAGATTTGTTTATTCATGTCAATTGCATTTAAGGGCAAAAACGCGTGAATGTCATTATTTTAGTACTGTGCATCTTCGAGAATACAACACCTTGCCTAATTCACCATGCCTTTACCTAAGCTTTAAGTCTTAAGCTATGAGAAATCAACCAACCATAGTCGATTATGCTTCTCATTCTACTGTTAATCCTTCAATTTCTTACATCTCAAAACTTAACTTAGGTAATGGCTTATTGTAAAAAGTCCAATAGATATAATAGACTTTTAAGTAAAAAAATTTGCTTTGATACTTAAAAAATTTTTTAATTTTCCAAGCATCTTAAATCTAGCAAATATATTTTCTGATATCGAACCAAATCAAATCAGAAAAATAACAAATAGATAAGGAAAGAGACAATACGGTCGAGGCTACATTTTGGTATCTTAATAATTTTTATATGTAAAAATTTATACATGTAAATAATATTTTTATGTTATATTTAAATAATACATCTTTTAGTTATATGAACTACATGTCTCTTACTCTCGGACTTGAAAAGTAATAATCATAAACCAAAGCTGAAAAAATAATATCAAAATTAAATTGGCTGTCGATTAATTTAATAATTAAAAATGAATCAGTGTATTATTACTGATTTCAGTGCCATAATACACTTATAACTGATATGTAATTATTAGCAAATATTTATCGTTTTCCAGTAAAAATACATTAATTCACTTTTAGAGATTATAATTTCTGCAATGCATTTTAATCTACAGAAAACCTCTAAAAGTGAGACTCAGTGTATTATTACTGAAAAATAAATATTCTACATTTATATCTGATGATTACATGTTATAAATGTAGAACTGAAGTCACTGATTCACCTTTAGAGAATACATATAAAAATATTATTAAGTACCAAGAGCCTCAATCGTATTGGCTTTTTCCTTAGTTATTTGATTTATTCATATAGTCTGGTTAACTTATTGGAAAAATAGCAGTTGATTCCGCATTACATGTTGTTACATGCGATTTATCAAACGATTAGAATAATCAATTATAAAACCTAGTCTTGGGATTAGATCACTGGTATCGATATTGTTTAGCCAATCACTTCACTAAACTTCACGAATAATGCCGAGAGATACGAAGAAGAAAGGAACAACACTCGTTTCCGCTTTTCTAGCGACAAGTATACCTACGATCGCAACTTGGCAGATCGCCCGTGTTTGATATGCTGAAAGGTTCTCAACCAATCACCACTGATAACGTCGTTTGTTCATCGTATCTCGTTATTATTCCTCGGCGCGAGCCGGGTAATAATTTTATTAGGCTGGCGTATCGTAACCGCTCGATGCGATTTAAGACCTTGTCACTGAGCATGAATCTGATCTAATGTCATTAGCCATAGTGAATAAAAGACTGAATTTCGCAATAATAAAAGAGAAAATAAATTAATAAAAATACATCAAATCCAATAAATAAATTTTGGATCGTCAACGTTCTTATATTATTAAGTAAAATATCCTGCAGTTAACTCAAAATGATACAAGATCTAAAAATATAATATAGTTGACGAATTCCAGAAAAAAATGCTATTCCATATGTAATTTTATTCAGCTTGTAAATAATTAATGGAATAGTTCTCGTTTGATTAGACATGATAGTAAAATAGATTTATGTTCAATCAACCTAGTCTAACGCAACTCACAAAGGAGTGTTGTTGCGTGGAAATGACGAATTATAATGAAATAGAAATCAAATTGTGGGCCTTAACAAGTTATTTAAGAAAACTCAATCTAAGTTTCCTTTTCTAGTTACTAAGAACAAACCTAACTTAACCGAAGTGAAAAGACAGCAATGCTAAATTAGATTCTCGATTTAATTATAATTAGATTCCGGCAGCGATCGCTTGGCAATTTTATAAAAAAAACTGATTTTTTTCTTATTTTAATTTTTAATAAAGACGATTTATATAAATTTTCGGACATCAAAACCGTTTTTGCCGTCTTTGAATCTGAAAATCTTAATCTTAAAAATAAAACACACACGTCAATAGATACTAATAATAAAAAAATGGAAGTCATAAGTTTTTGTTTTGCATGTTAAAGTATCTTTTTTACTTCAACGCGCGAATATTTCGATAACGTCGGAGACATTAAAGTACCGATGACAGTAATCGTGCAAAGTATAACAAAAGTTCAAATGGCTATAAAACTGCAACAATGTTACAGTAACGTTTGAAAAACGATGCAATCTAACGTCCATTTCTATCAGTGTAGAAACTTTAATTTCTTTAACTTACTTTTCATCTTCTTCTATGTAGTTCTAAGAGTTAGAAAAAAATATGAAGAGTAAATTAGTCCAAGACTAAAATTAATCTTCATTAGAAATAAGCCTAAAAAATTATTTCATCGCCGTCGCAATCTAGATGAATAAATTCACTAATTGCAAGATCGATATCTACTTTCCGCTTGGGATCGAATGTATACCGATTTATCTTAAAAGTATCATATCTCCATAAACAATTTTAATAAACAATGCCGTTAGCTTTTTGCCGGCTCCAGGGCGCTCGGTGTGTACATCACCACGAAATCGAAGCTCGTCGAAATGGTTCCGGTTGCGTTAGCTGAATTTTTAATTAGCGAGAAACACAGTCGCGAGCTGGGAATATCCATGGTTTATTCGTTTGTCGGATTGCACGTACATCTTCGCAAGCACGGCATTACGTGGAAACACACCGGCGTATACGATCAATAAAATGCAACGACCTGATATAATGGAAGCGATACGCGTCGCGCTTCATAAAATACCATCGCCGGCATAGTCAAGCTAAAATACGTTAAGGAGACGTAACGCGCGAAAAAGTCGGGCGAAAGTCGGTGAATTGTAGTCCCTTCGATTTATCGAGTTTCTCACGATCGACGAGTTCATCTCTCCGGCCTCTCCCTCATCCACACATACAAAAGACACTTACTATACGCAAATAATAATTATTTATTTCAAGTATTTCAAAAATTCGTATATCCGCAAATTCTATCATAAGTTCATCACAAGCATCAAATTTATTCGAAATATATTCTGAAAATCCTAGTAAGTTTAATACATATATCAGTCAAGATTATTAAATTAAAACATTCAATTTGCTATTATATAAAAAGTCGCTTCTTCGATCAATTTTATAATATTCTTCAAAAGAAAATAAATTCTTGTGTTTTGAGTACCTAATAATAAGTTCTAAAATTTGTAATAAGTATATTTTGAGATTATTATAAAAAAATATTCTTTGTTCAAGTAAATGTTATTTAAAAGGAAGAAAATAAATTGAGTGATCACTTTTCTTAGCAGTAGGATTTTTTCGTGTGCACCTATCTTCTCTAAAATAATTAATTAATGTGCAACACGGAAAGGAATATCTTATGATATGCGAGATGAATTTACTTTAGCCAAAGAGTTTCATTTGTCATGAATATATTTTATTTTGCACGAGATATGCTGATCATTATTCAATCTAAAAGATTGCTTAATTCAAGAGAATTAATTACGCAGTAATTACACAGAATATTTAATTTTATAACGTAGATTCTTTATCGCTCGCACGACTTCTTTCGCGCCGTGCTTGCGAAGTAGCGCGCAGTAGTTTTAGTGCGACAGGAGAGAAAGGATCCGAATCCTCAAGCAACTGCATAAGTCGTTATGCATACTTGAATATCTGAACATCTTTCACATTTTTTTTCATATAATTTCAGAGAATAATTAACAACTCTATAAGTACCGTGATGTGTGCCTAAATTAAAAATACTATAAAATTTATTATTGAACCTTTTAATAATTAATCTATATATTATAGTGAAAGATATCCAATTTATAATTTATTATTTACATTATAGAAATGTGCTTAATTACACTATTTTTTGTTTGTTCACAAATAACAGCTGAAATTGGATCCCTGATTGTAATCAATTATCAGAAGATAAAAAAGCACAGGATATTATATTTATTATAAATTTTGAAAATGTCTCTGATAACTTTTATAAAGTAAATGAAATTTTTCTGATAATTTTGCCACGGTTATTTCCGATAACGATTTAAATGCAGCAGCGATACGGCGTGAAATCTTTTATTGATTATGGTCACGCGATGGATATTCCAGATTATATCTGAAATTTAAAACTATTAAAAGATATAAACGAACGCTTCATCTCGCGTCAGGTATGTACGTCAAAAGGAGATTAAAATACAAATGTACAAAAATTATTGTACTTTATCGAGAAATTGTTTCCTTTTTATATTCCAGAAACTGGAAATATCCCTCCTCCGTGACTTTAACGAAAACATTGACCCACGTGTATCGTGCATACCTGCAATTTTATCGCATCATGAACGACGTATCGCTGCTCAGTACATTCTACGTAGGCGCGAGGAGCCTAATTGATATTGCATAAAATAAAAATTATTTATGCCCATTCCTAACAATGTAGTTTAATTTTAATCTTGGTTCAACTGACTCTTAATTTTTTCTAGTTTCTAAAAATTATGCCCGTTTCTAACGTAGATTAACTTTAATCTTGGTTTAACTTAATTTTTCCTAGTTCCAAGAATGAGAAAAGAATAAAGAGCAAATTAAATCGAGATTAAAATTAATCTTGGTAGAAACGAGCATTAATCGTATTTTTCTACATGCTGTTCCTATCGCTATTTTTCGTGGAAGAAAACACGATAGCTAATCGTAAATGAGAGATAAATGATATAATAATTAAAAGACAGCAATATTTGAATCTTTAAAAAGCACAACTATCCTTGAAAAATCATAATTACTCCCTTAGTAAGTGATCTGGAGAAAGTTAATACCGAGTCACTCGAGCAAATGACGGATCGATTATTTCTAGGACTGTCCCCTTTAAGATACGAACATCAAATAATATCAAACAAATCAAATTAAATAATTCTTTTAAGTCTTTATTAAGCTATTATACACTACATTAAGCTATTATACTACATTAAACTATCTTATGCCCGTTTCTACAATGTAGATTAACTTTAATCTCGGTTCGATTTACTCTTCACATTTTTCTAATTCTTAGAATTAGAAAAAGATGAAGCATTAGTATAAACCGAGATTATAAAATTAAACTACATTGAGATAGAAATGGGCATTAGAATAAATTTTTCAAAATGCACCGGTGCAGACTTATAAATACGTACAGATGTGCATCGTGCAATCGTATAATTAGAGTTGTACACATCTACTGCCCTGAGCATTTAATCTTTGCGACAAAAACACGCGAGGGAAAGAATTAAACATATAAAGAGACTATATGAGACTCGTACTCGATTAATCCTCCAACTGCTACCCTTCTTTATCGAACTCTTATCGAACCATGAAACAAGAACATTTAACACTTTCAGCAGCAACCTCTTACATCTTTTTTTTTCAATTTCCAACCCCTATATTTCCGGAACAGAACCGTAGTAGTTAACAGGGATGTGAATCGAGCGTCAGTGTGCAGCGGAGTCGCGCGTATTCCAAAGGAACCAACCCCCGCCCTCTCCCTCTTTCTCTCTCGACCTCTCGTCCCCTTTTTTCTCTCCCTCTCTCGGAGCAGCTCGCCAGGGGTAGCTCTCGGTGTCACTGCGAGCGCACGCACAAACGGGTGCTCTCCCCAACGATCCGGCGATCCGTCGATACGAATCGAACGCGTACGTGTACGCACCTCCTTTCGCGTATCCTGGAGTGACGTCGGGATTCTCTCGTCGTCTCTCTTTCTCTCTTTCTGTCTTCTCTCCACCACTGACACTCTATTTTTTTTTCTCTCTCTCTCTCTCCCCCCTGTTCTTCCCGGAATAGTTTTTCACTCGGTTCGAGCTATTTGATCGATATTCCGGGAGAACGGTTTCCGGCAGGAGCACGGTCGGTGGTCCTGCTCAACTCGACCGAGATCTGGGAGGAGGAGCAGTTTAGGCGAGGCTCGACCCGCGCGCGCGAGAGAGAGAGAGAGGGATTCTCGTCCCAGCGGCGACGACGACGACGACGACGATGCTGACAGCGAGCACTCACGGCGCGAGAACGAGCGAACGTGCGTGCGTGTGTATGCGCGTGCGACAGATACGGTTCGTTATCGTGTCTCTCGCTCTCCGGCGCAGCGGCCGCTCTCCCTGTGACGGTTCTACGTCTGTCCGTTCGTCTCCCGTTCGTTCTCAACGAAAGGCGCCGATTCCGACCGAGCGCGTCGACTCCACGGTACGGCACGGCGCGCCGGGTGCTCGCGACCGAATGACGTCGGCGTCGATAACGACGACAACGACGACGACCGATCGCAAGGAGATCGAATGGTGACGGCGAGATGTGCCGACCGGAGATCCCTTCAGCCGTCAGCAGCGACAGTGACAGCGACGTCGACGACGGTGACTGCCGATTTATAGTCTCCGCCGATTATGCGATCGCGGAAAACTCGCGCGATCAGCGATTCTGCCTCTGTCCACCTTCGTGTGAAAAGGGAACGCGCGAAGGAGAATCGGGGTGGCTCCACGACCCTTCGTGCGCTCTCCCCGAGTCCGTGTAACGACCGAGGGCTTGCTGAGCTCGCTCTCGCTCGCGCGTTATTACGAATCTCGGAGGGGGATAAACCCGCGGACCCGGCAGCTGTGCTCCGCGAAAGTCGCACTCTCTTAACAGCGACGGCGAGCTGGACGCGTACTGGCGACGGAGTCGAGCACCGATCGGGGCGACCTCTCGCCCCGCCCGACTCCGCCGCCGCCACCACCACTATCACCGCCTCCACCACCGCCACCACCATCGCCGCTACCGCCACCGCCGGCATGCTGCGCTTGGAGAACAATCGATCCCGGGACCGGGCGACCCCGACACTCCTCGTCTCTGCCTCGTCTCATCACCTAGCCGAGACGACCGGCAATCGCTCGACCTCTGACCTCCAGGCTTCGAAAACGTCATCTTGGCGACATCTAACGACGCGCGGCGTCGCGACGCCACGCGACGCTACCTTAACCATCTTAAGATGTTATAAACCAATCGAAAAGCTTAGATGCTGTATTAGCGTCTTAAGACATTACTTAAGATGGTCTTAAAATAAGAACGGATTATGAATACCACCATAGTCAAGTTTTATATTTAAGGCCAGTATTCATAGTCAGTTCTTATATTTAAGACGATCTTAAATATAAGATCACGAACTAATCAGAGGACCGGATTAGCATCTTGAGACATTATTTGAAACAGTCTTGAAATAAGAACAGACTAAGAATTTTAAACTGTCATGAATCAATTAGAGGCTGGTATTCATAGCTAGTTCTTATTTTAAGAACGTCTTAAGTTCTTGAGTAATGTCTTAAAATAATGTAGCCCTCTGATTGTATTATGGCATCTTAAGACTATGTACTTAAGATAGTCTCAAATATAATAAGAATCGACTTTGAATACCGACTGCTTTCTGCTTCTATTCATTTTTATTATTAGACTGACACGAGAGATTCATTTTAAATTACGTTAGAAGTAATATTTCAACAATATTTAAATGAAATTATTACAATTAGATTTCAGTATACTTGTCTGAAGAGAAATTTTTTTTAATCCTTAGTACACACGATGATTTTCCGATCCTTTACTACACACAATAGGTTATTTCGTATCCCAGGTTAATTTTCATCACTTTAACAAATATACAAAAATCATTGATTAATTTCTATATACTTTAACATCTTTAAGAAGCATTTATAAGGCTGTGCATTTAAAAAATCGCATATAAATATTATAATATTCGTTTTTCAAAAAAAAAAAAAGAAATGTGCAGGACACGAATGACTCAATCGTATGTACTAAATGTTAATTCTCTTTTTATTCAGAGAACTTCAGTTTTCTAATTTTATTTAATACTGACTGGAAAAAAACATCCTTATTTTTATCATCGCTCTAATACTCAATACATCTACACTTTATCACGCAATATAGTGTCTTAATATCATCACGCATTGGTACTTTTAGTTTTGGTATTGCAGAGAATTGGATTGAATAATTAACTATATATACGATTTATCTACAGAAATGATCGACGTGATAAAAATTGCTAGAGTCTTGGGCAACACGAGAGGAAATGTCATACGGAGAAAATTTACATCTTTTCATAAAATGCTTTAAAATTTATACTCCTGATACACAATCATTTTGTTTTATTGCTAATAACTCGACGAAATGTTTTACAAAATTGTTCCTACAAAGATAAAGAAATTGTCAGACTTACCTTAACACATTATAACTTACGCGTCGCGAGGACGATCGATCATCACCCTCGATTTTACATCGCGACATTAGAGTAAGAATAACATATCCTAAGATCATCTCAATCCGAATAACGCACGCAATGATTTATGCATTCTCGCACAAGAAATGGATATACACCCAAACAAGACGCAATATCTAGAAGATGTCTTTACGGTGTCTTTTACATATCTTTTAGACAAGTATTTATCCCAAAAGACGTCTTTACGATGTCTTTACATGTCTTTTAGACACGCATGTTGTCTGGGACAGCTTGTTTTATTATCGGATAACATAATCGCTCTGATAGCGTGAGTAGTATTTAATAATCGCGTGAAATCGAAAACGCTTACACAATAAAATCGACACTTGGCGGATTTCCCGTCCTCTATTCTCTCGACCGAAATCTTAATGAATTCATTTATTTTTATCTTAATTGCACATCTTAATTCAAAGCAGGGATTAGACGCGGTCAAAATTTCACTGAGCTTTATCCACAGGCTGCCTCCCAAATGCAGCCAGCCTAATTCGCGATTCTTATTATTTCATTTATATTCATTTCTATCAGTGTAGTTTAATTTTAATCATGGATTAATTAACTCTTCATCTTTTTCTAGTTTTAAAAATTAAAAAAGGATAAAGAGTAAGTTGAATCGAGATTAAAGTTAATCTACATTAGTAGAAGTAGTGAGTATTAATCTCCCTAATTAACGTTCCTTTATTATCTCATTTAAATAAAAACCAGACGCGGATTTGGTAATTAAACTTCTTAATAGACCATGAAAAATCACGAATTAGACTCAGCTACGCTCGCAAATCACGACGAAATCGCGACTCGTCGAAATTATATATCGACTTCGATATCTCCCTTTAAAAGATCGCTTCGTGCCGTCACTTCGCTCAAGCCGCTCGCGTGTGTTTTATTTATTTACATGGTACGTTACTTGGTATATTACACTCTGACTTTCTCTTGAAATGTCAGAAGCGCCTGCCGCCGTAATCGAAATCGAAAGCTCATGAGGATAGCCGAGAGTAGTGTGCGCCGCGATTTGTTTCACTCTACGAGGCAAGGATTCCTTCTCGAAATCCTCGCGGGAAACGACAAACCGCTCGATGTGCTAGGCTTAATCAGTCAGACAGAAAAATAAGAAACCCAGTCAAACGTTTGTTGCAATTTTGTCGACGAAGAGACACCAAAAATGCAAATTCTGTTATATTCAATAGTCAGCAAATTGGTGGTAAATATTACAAAATCTGTTGACGTAACACGAGAATTGTCGCAAAACTATGCGAAGCTTACTGATAACCTTATAGCAAATTAACGACAAGACCCGATCAAAGCTTTGCTCAGTTTTTAATTACAAAACAACGTAAATAAAATTTGTAAAAATAGCGCTTCTATTGTTAAAATACGTTCCAACCTACTCAGAGCTTAGAAATAATTAATTTAGCAGCCGACGTCATTGCGTTTCTTTCTAAAACTGAATCCAAACTATTTTAAATCGCGTACATGAAACTATAATTACTTTGTCATATAAAAAAAAATTTGCTATCTGATTATGTACGCTTTACTAACACAAATTTGTTGTTGACCGAATTTGTCATCAACTTTGACAAAGAAACGTGCTACATTGTAAAAGTAATATTAACGACTAACGTTAATAGTCGAAAGATCACGTTTGAAATAGGTATTCTAAATAATCAAATTTTAGGATCCTATAAATTTCGTGCCTGATTCGAGCTGGAACATATTTGACCATTTTAACTTACAATTAGACACAAAATATCTCGAGAACAATGCGTTTTTGAAAAAAATGTTTCAAATAAAAGTTGTAAAATTTGAAGGGAACCATTGGATGAGTAACTTAGATTTTAGGTCCAGAGGTGGACCTTATTGAGCCAAAGTAAATCCAGAGTATCTATTTCAAACATGATCTTTTAATTGTTAACATTTTTTATTACTTTTGCGATGCAGCACGTTTCCCTGTGAGCGAGTTTGATGCCAATTTGGCGACAATTTGCTATCAATGTACTTACTGGGAAGAAACGTGTACAGCAGCTTTGATCGTCACTCATTACGCTGTATTTCCAGAATATCGCGTCGCTCTTATTATCTACGCTCCATAGAGAGTTCGCTCCTCCTCTCATTTTCCTCTTGACTCGTTATTACAAAGTATATTGCTAAAAACACGTTAACAATATGAACTTTCGATTTGGTTGCGTTTTTATTCGTGATACAGAGCGTTTCATTGGCAAGCGCGGAAACTCCGCTCCCAAAGAATCACCCTGCACATCAGCTCCTAACAAGGAGACTTTACAGCGACGACAAAATGTTTTAAAATGTTTCTTTTTTTCTTACTTCACACACATGTATTGTAACATGTCGCGATGTCTCATTACACACGACGCCACGCAGCTCGTTTGATATACAACTACGTCGTACACGTATAAAAATAACTTCTATTGTTAAAATACGTTTCAACATACTGAGAGTTTAGAAATAACTAATTCGATGGCTGTCGCCACTGCGTTCGCCCGTCTCCCCCTAAAACTGGATCCAAGATTACTTCGAATCTCGTACATGAGACATGAGACTACAATTACATTGTCATATAAAAAAAAGAGCATATATAGATATATGTGTATATATATATATATATATATATTTACTGTGTACGCACACGCACGTGCGCACGTATAATACATAATTGAGTATCGTAAAACATATATACTGAGACTCTTTCTTTTTTTATGCAAAGTATTGTCGCGCATTCACATTACAATACTTTGTGTTTATTTCAGTTAATTGAACAGCATTTAACTCGTATCCGGGCAAGCCCTCAATTCCTTGAAATTTAAAATTACCTCCTAAAATATGTTCCCTAACTCCATAAATTTTATACATGTAATCTTTGATTATATAAAGATAAATATATTTATATACGTGTAATAGTTTTATACGAGACTCTTAAGAGAGAAAAAATATAAGTTTACCCGTTTGCTTTTAGAAAATGGATCTCCCGGATAAGAGTTAATCGATGAAAATTAATCATCATTACGGTATCACCTTCGCGCCATATAAAAGCCTGAAAACAGCTGGATTGCCGCCGACGTTATCCCTTGGAGTATACGCGCGCGTGCGTGTGCGAGATTGCGTTAAGGTGCAAGTAGTCCCTTCGAAAGTTAAAGATAAAAGCGAGAAAGTTGTGTTGTCGTTTCCCTATTTAACGTCATCACTGTTGTACAACGCTATAGCTACATCTCGTGCAGGAGTCGCTTGAGTGAGAGAAGACCTCGAGGAAAATCCCCTTCGAGTAGACATTTACTACCTTTCAATGTGAACGACGTGATTGGTGCATACCCTACACACGCAATATGCCTTGTCCTGTCGTAATGGATAAAGAGGGAACGTTCATTCCCCCGTGCTTCTCATCGCGGATGTGCGTGATACAGGAGTACGGCGCGATATCCACGACAGCCCTTTCTGGTGCGCCAGGCTGACGATCTTCGGAGGAAAAACGAAAAGCGGTGCGACCCCATGCATGTGAAACGTATTACGCATAAACGCATGTGTCGCGTGAAACGTTAATCAAGCGAGAACAAAAAGAAAGTTACGTTA